AACCGGCAAAGTCAAAGTCTCGCCCTATGGTTCCCCAATGTTCAAAGTGAGGATTTGACGCGCTCGCTCAGTGAAACGCTGCACCCCGGGCAACAATCCTGCGGGCGTAAAGCAGCACCATGCCACCCCGGGCAATCATCCTGCGGGTGGAGCATATGCTGCACCCCGGGCAAACATCCTGCGGGTGTAAAGCAGCAGGATAAAGGCCCCGAGCAAATATCCTGCGGGCACTGTCATATGTCATCATCTGACACATGTCGTTCCAGTGTCACCTGTGGTAAAGAAAAGTGGGAAGGCCACACCAGGACCTCTTTGCGAAAGAACCAGATGAACTTGAGAGAGCAATCCACCCGGTCTTCTTTGCACCATTTGTCAGGTAAAGAATCCGTTTGATTCCACCTGCTCAAGAGATCAGCATCATCATTTTTCTCACCGGCGATGTGAGAAATATCCAGCTCGATACCCGAAGCTGCGGATATGAGGGAAAGTTTCTGAGCAAACGCTCCCAGTGGCCACTTGGCGGTGTAAAGTTTCGCGCCCAATGCCTCCGTTGAGGCGTTGTCAGAAAAGGAAGGGAGGCGAACTACCACGCGACCCGAAGGAAATACTGACCTGTAAGCATGTACCAAAGCAATCTGCGCCAAAGTTTCATAACAGGCAATATCTTTGTGCGCGGGTCGGCGAAGTTCCAAACCCAAAACTGACAGATCTGAAAGTTGCCAAGCTTGTGAAAACCAGATGTATGCACCAGACGGGAAAGCAATAAAACCTCCAATCCCAATAAGCTCGCCATCAGCTCTTGCATCCGCAAAGGCCTCAACCTGGAGTCGCAAAGGAACAGAAAGGGCAGTGTAAGGCTGAGGTCTTTGACACCATTCTTTCCAGAATGAAAGAAAAGTCCGCGATGCTGGTGACAAAGAACGCCGATCAGATTTGGGATTGGTCACCCGCATCCAGATCCGATTGGAGGTACGTACCTTGCAAAGGTCTAGCTTTGTTTTCAGTTCCGTGTGTCGCGCTTCCAGTAGCTTACCTCCAAGTGGAACCTGAGTACCCGGAGGTACGGATGTAAAGCGGAGATCATCATCCAGGTAGTTAGCCAACGAAGGCCAGAGCCCCTGTGATATGCTATACTGGGAAGCCAAATGCCGATGCAGATCTGAGAAAAGAGAAGCAAGCCAAGGTTTGCACGATCTGTAAAGCTGACAGAACCACTGTAGGAGTCCCACCAACTTGTGGAGCAAGGCACTCGTAACCCTTCTGGACCGTGTGGCTTCCTTAATCAAATTGAAAAGCTTATCAACTTTCTCTTGCGGAATATGAAAAGAGCCGCTGGTAAAGTTGAATGTCCAGCCAATCCAGGTAGTGCAACACCCCAATTGCAACTTGGCCCAGCTCAACGGCACTCCGAATATAGATGTAAAGCAAAGTAAGAGTGACGCGGAATAAAGGATGCACTCACGGTCCTGGATGAAAAGAAAATCGTCGACGTAACCCATGAGAGCATGGCGCACAAAGATCCAGAGATGCATGAGGCGTAAAAGCATGCCCGCCAGCCGTTGAAACCACAAAGCAGAAAAGTTTGCACCGAATGGACAAACTCGGTAAAAGAAAAGTTTATCATCTTCACCCTCTTCTCCCGGTAAAGTGACACCAAGAAGTCCCTGGTCCGCCTCTTTGACCCGAACCGTTTTATGCGCCGCCTTGACGTCGAGATGGAAGCCTTCACACAGGCCTGCATGAAGGCGTAAAGGAAAGCAATCTCGAACATCTTGCAGACCTGGCAAAGTATAGCGCTCAGGAATAGAGCATGCATCGTTGGTGCCACACACAGTGGAGTCTACCACCAGCCTGGGAGCTCTCGGAGGAGAAAGTACAAGGGACATTTTCCCTACTGCAACGCGCTCTCCCCAACGCTCCTGTGCCCCGTGCAAAGAGGGCATTTCAAAAAGCCATCCCTTCTGAACCTCAGATTGCACCAGTTCGCGCAAAGTGTCCGGATCGTTGTTAGCACTTTGCCAGTTGTCCTTGGCGATGGAAAGCTGGTGATCAAGCTCCGGCGCCGAAGGATGTGGTATGAACACCTTGGAAAGAGGGATGTCGCCGTCATATCCCGTGGGAACACCATCAAGCGAACACTGGCAAAGCGTATCATCTTTGTCCTTGACAAATTGCGAGAAGAACTTCAAAGCATGCAAAGCATAAGGTTGGTGATCCGGAATCGTCCAGTCAACCACATGTGATGATCCTTGTTCCGAGACCCAGCATTGGAAAAGCTGTCGGAGATGCTGAATCTCACCTTCCTGAAAGAGTGGCTCTGAGCTGTGCTGTAAAGCATGGGCCTGTAGTCGTTGTGGGATCTTTTCGTCAAAGATCCACTGTCGAAGTTTGAACCTGAGATCGCAAAGGACATCCTGAACACCAGGCGGAGGCGTACTCCAATCAGGCACCGAGTAAATCCCAGCACCATCCTGGTTGGCAAAGGGCGGCTCGAATCTCTCTTTGACATGCCTCAGAAAAGGAATCTGGCCAAACTGCAAATCTTTGGGTTCCGGGCTTCTCTGAGCGAAAAGATGCAAAGAACCCTCGGCCACTGCGAGCACAAAGTCCGCACTCAATGAAGAAAACTCGAATTCCCGATGGGCCTGCATTGGAGACCCCGTCGAGGATGCAGTGGCTAAAAACTGCAAAGATGAAAAGGATGCAGCCAGGAGCCCAAAGCCTTCGAAGTTGCAACCAAACCGTTGTGGGTCCCAGAAAATAGCGTCTGCACCCATCTGCTGCAAAAGAAAAATCACCGAAGCGTGGCTCCATACTGCAGAATTAGAGTGCTGAGAAAGCAGTACATGAGAACCCGCCGCAAAGCATGCGTGTGCTATCTGAATCATGCGCTCGAAAAGACTCGAAGAGAAATCACTGGCGCAAAGCAGGATGTGCAAAAGGGCAACCTGCCCAGAGTGACAAACCCTGAACAAGGCAAAGAAGAACTCATCTTGTAGAAGGTCACGTTCAGGGAAAATTTCGGGAGCGACCGAGAAAGTATCACAGCCAGCTCCAAGAAATGCTGCTGAAAGAGGGCGCCGGGCCCCGTTGATGTCCAGGAAAAGGCCTGAGTCGAGTTCCGAGACAGAGCATGCAAAGTTCTGAGGAGCACTCTGTACCACGGGCTCCGGAGGGGTAGCACATGGTTGTGGAAAAGGAGCATCTCCTGTAGCATCTGCAAGCAAAGCAACTGGAACCAGGCCTTCCTCGCCTGCATAGTCCAGGCCCGGTCCCCCTCATGCACCTGCCTTTTGTGCATGCTGAAAAGCCGGATGCTTCTGCAAGCAAATCTTACCGTTCTCCAGGATCACGGGGCAAAGGTGCTCAAACTTGCAATTGTTGGAAGTGCAGCCTTTGTGGGTACTGTATGCCATGCAAAGCACCTTGGTCTCTCCATTGATCTTCGCCTTGTTTGCCCACTCAAAGGCATGTGTGCCTTTGGTAAAGGTGGACTTTCCCTTTCCAGGGGTAGTACCTCCCTTGCCTCCGGTGGACTTACCCCCCTTGTGGGGCTGTTCTCCGTAACCGTTGTGTTTAGGAAGGGCGCTGTGAGCGAAGTTTACAAAACTCAGTTCCCTCATCAGAAATTTTATTGCCCAGAAGATATATTGGGCAAACGGAAATATCGGCGAAGGTATAAATGCACCGACGGTATCCCCGGAGAATATATGGGGTATAAATTCTCATATCTTGCTTTCGCCTCTTGGGACTCCAATCAAATGTATCCTCGCAACTTAATGATGAATATCTAAAGAGATAGCAACTGCCGAAAGGAGCACGCAGGATGTTTTCAAACGGATGGCGGCAGGCTCACGCAGGCATCTAATTCTTGAACAGGTCTTTGACGTGTCGGGAAGGCGCACCTGTGTGCCTGTGCCCCCCCAGCCCACGTGGTTTGAGACCACAGTATCTACAAGGGAGTGGAGGGTGGGAATCAAAATTTTCCCTGCTCCTGAGCCTGAGCTCTGCGTCCATGATAAGCATTGAGATTGTGCGCGCACTCAGCTTCTGGCTCAATTCTGAAAAGCGCACGATACGTAAAATAAAATAGAAACTCAAAACTGCTAAATAAAACTTTTCTCTTTGAAACTGCGGAGATCTTCGAGTTGGTCTAGTCGAGGGAACTCCTCCTACCCACAGAGACACCCCGCCCCGCCCACCCAAAACGTTTACTCTAAACAGCGCCGCCGGGCAAGCCCGGCAGGGCCTGTTCTCCGTACTCACGGTGTCACGACAAGAGCCCTTGCACCTACCATGGAGAGCAGGCGCGCAGGTCCCTCGCCGCTGCTGGTTCGTGTCGTCTCGTTGTCCATTCGTCACTGTGCAACGAAAGGCTCGGCTGTACAGAAAAAAGAGACTGTAACTGCGACTAGCCTTACAACATCCACATTCCCCCATGCGAAAGTGCAAAGCGAAGCATGATGGTCAAAGGAGGGTATATACTACAAAGCCAGGTGTCATGAGATGACAGAGGCTGCTACGAAGAGTCCTCGGTACCATACTTTAGCATGTGTGACCAAGTTGACTCCAGGAAAAGACTACAAGACTACGTACACGTCCAGGCTACGCTCGTACTCAGTTGGGCTTGCCGCAGGAACTCAGGACTCAGTCACCAGAAGACCGCAGCAGCCACAGCAGCCACAGCGCAGCAGCCGCCAGCAGCCCCAGCGCAGCAGCCGCAGAGGCCACAGGGGATCCTCGACGAGGTAGCACAAGAGGGTGTTTCGAGCTTCCAAACGCTGCCAAGCAAGCACAGTAGAACGGTCTAGGCAATGCTTCGTCACAGCAGGCTGCAGAGAGCATCGCCACTGTCTCGAGGTGCACCGGACGGTGCTCAAGCGCAAGAAAGGAAAGACCGCCCCTGTCGAGGGGCCTGCACTTCGAGGGCAATCACTGCCCAGGATGGGCCACGGCCCCACATATCTAGTATTTGTTGTAAGAAAAGTCCTGGGATCAGAACTCTCGCCAGCAGCAGCCTCGCTCACGACGTGAGCATAGCCGCGCTCAGCCAAGGTTCCGAGCTCTCACCAGGTGCACCTGGGACCCCTAAGGGGGGAAGGAGGGGCCTAAACCCAACGGAACCCAAAGGGGAAAGGGAGGACATTGCAGAGCCGCATAGGGCCTGGGAGCGCGATCTCCAGCCGCAGCAGCATCTTCACGCAGCGGGGCGAGGCCGCGCTTGGTACACAAGGGAGGGATGAGGCCTAAACCCGAGTAAACCTGAAGAGGAGGAGCTCACAGGAGCTCCTATGGGCATTAAGGGGGTGGGCCTAAACCAACACTAGGGAACCCCACAAAAGGGGAGTGGTCCAGCAGGCAAGGCGCACTACGAAAACCAAGTTGGGTGCAGCCCTACAAAACCCATCCTAGGGAGGGGAGTCCAAAGGCTTGAGATGATCGTACAGAAGGGCAGATGATGCGGCTGCCGCGGAGATTGCAGCAACTTCCCATCGCTCAGCTTCCTCAGAGCGTCGATGCCACTCCACTCGAGAGGAGCCTTGAGCCCTTGAGTCACGTCTTTGGTTGGCTGCCCGGTCGGCCTTGTCATTCAGGTCACGACATCGGCGATCATCCAACCCTAAAGGCGGTTGCCAATCGAGTCGTTTGTTGTGCGAGGGGACCCACACCAGGTGGACAGCTTTATAGTCCCGACGGAGTGCTCGCAACAACGCAGCCGACTCCTCCGCCAGGCACCTGAGCTTGCTAGTGTCGGGACGCTGAACAGAATCCAAAGCACTTTGGCAATCGACCAAGACGGTTACGGTGGAGTTGTTGTACTGCTGCCCCCTCGGGAGAGCTTGCAGGAGGGCATTCAAACCGACCATCTCGTACCGAAAGGGAGATTGGTCTTCGGCATCATCTCCTGCGGAGAAGGTGTCTTCAGAACTCTCCGTCACCACTGCACAAGCACCTACCCCAAGATGATGGCTCCCATCACTGGCAACAAGGATGTTGCCGGCATCATGTGTCAGGACCTGACAGAAATGGTCTCGTAAAGCCTGAATCATGGCTGGGACCTGGTTGCCATCAGGGGCAGCTGGGTATTCCGGCAGGGGGGCTCCAAACAGCCTTTCTTCTACTCTGTTCGTGGGGGTCCGGAGACCCTGCCTGTGCACAACTGTCTTTGGGCATACCCACGTAACGTGGGCTCGCGAGGGCCAGGAGAGATTGCACAGGCATTTGACCTCCGAATCACGCATAGAAGGGAGGCGCTGACGGTGGTACCAGGCCGAACCGCCTGTGGCAAGAGAGGCTCGGCGAACATCAAGTGTCTGGCTCTGTCCGAGAAGTCTGTGGCCAGCCAGGGCGAAGCGGATGCTCGGGCACGGCGCATCAAGATTTAGGCCCATAGCAAGGCCTACCTCTGCACGGTGGTAAGAGGTCTTGACACGTCCACAGTTTGCGATGCCTCGCTTGCGGTGCTCTTCGGTGAGCCAGTCGCGCAAAACTTGGATGTTCTGCCACCCGAAACAAAAGCGTCGCGTCTGCCCGGCATCGTCGACTCGAGAGATGGCGGCGCCGTTGAGTTCAAGTGTCCAGCCCAAGTCGGTGGCGGTGCTGACTGCATGGGGGAGTACAGCCTGCACCGGGTTGTCACTTTGAGCTGCACCCCTTGTAACATGTCTTCCGACTGCACCTAAGGCCCTCCATTGCAAAAGCCATTTGGGGTCCCACTGCCATCCGTGGACTTCGGCTAGAAGGACCCACGGAGTTTCGCCTGTGATCTGGGGTTTGAGGGCTCGGTGGACCGACTTCCTGATGGCGGTGAGATCCTTCGCTTCCGGGGCTGCGATGCCCGCAGCCCAAGCCAGAGCAGCGAAAACCAAACTAGAACACACGACCCTTGCCACACCGAAAGAGGGGTTCAGGATGTTTAGGGCACGAAGGCGAGCCTGGAGGGTGTCAACACTCAGCTTAAGTAAGCCGGTTTTCCCACTGTCAAGCTCAACAGTGAGGCCCAAAATTTCCAAACGGTGACGGGTCGGATAGCCCAACTGTGCCGCTAGTGTACCCAGCTTGGGGCGGGCCTTAGGCTCGACAATCGCGCACTTCGAGGGACGGCAGGTAAAATTCATGACCTTATCAAAGAAATTACTTCGCGTCACCCCATCCACGAGAGCCGCCTCCACGTCCCTGGCCCCTGGTGGCGCCCATAAGAGCCTATCATCCACGAAGATAAGCGCCTGGGTGGGACCGCCCCGGGTGACGTAAGCATGCCACACGTTGCCGATCAAAAGGGCGCACAGGGGAGACAGGGGGCACCCCTGCAGCAGACCTTTAGAAGGCGTCCTCCACCTTCCATTGGTGACTTTAGAGACCTTGAACAATCTTTGAGCATTGCTGTAGAACGATGCCAGCAGCCTGCCCAGGCAGGGCGGGGCCCGCATGTGGTCAAGGATGGTGAGCAGCTGTGGGAGCCTGATGCTGTCAAAATACGCGGATAAGTCTTGTTGAATGTAGGCTTTGGCACCCTGGTGCCAGCTCTGCAAGATGACGCCATGAGCGTCAGTGGTGCCTTTGCCTGGGGCTCCTCCAGCAGCCTGGGGCGAGCACCACGATGCAATCCACACTTGCATACGCCTGCACAGGATGCGGGCACCCGCGCGCCAAAAGAAGGATGTCAGCGCTATGGGGCGGTACTCAGTATGTGCTTTAGGGACAAGTATTACCAACGCACGTCTCCACAGCAGTGGGACTTGCCCACTGGAGAGCACAAATGTCCAGAGTCGTCCCAAGGCTTCCCACCACTCAGATGGCAGGTGCAGGGTCTCGGCACCCCATTGGTCGGGGCCGACGGCCTTGCGGGACATTCTTTTGACCGCATCAAAAAGTTCCTGCCCTTTGATGGATAAGTCCACTGAAGCCTGAGTCGGCCTGGGGAGGGCACTCAAGATTTCGGCCAGGTCGGCCTGGTTGATGGGCTCAGAATCGCAAGACCACTTGTTCATCCACACCCTGCTTTGAGTGTTGACGACAGAAGTGGGGTGGATGTCAGTGGGAGCTTTGGCCAACTCGCAGGGCGGGGTGTCGAGCTCGACACGGCGCGCAGCCCACCGCTTGACCCAG